ATAGCAGAACGTAAGTTTTCTTGCGTCCTCTGAGCTCATCGCGGAGGTATATCTGTCCAATCTGTAAGTAGAAAAAATATGTTGAGTTGTATAAGAAAGGTAGGGTAATAAAGCGCATTTCAGTGGGCCTTATTGGCCGCTTAGCATTGTTTTTATAAAACCATCAATTCACAACAAAAAGAGCTCTTATTTTCGATTAAAACCATAGAAATTATATACTATTGCGTCTGATGTTTAATAAAATTACGCTACGTTATCGCTTAATAACAAATGAATAAGAATACTCACATTTCTTCATCACTAATAATTATAAATCGGAGTGGTGTAGCGGCCGCATGCTAACTTCGACGTGTACCTATCGGTCTTATGCCTCCACTACACGTCTTCAGATGCGTCGGCGGACGACGGCAGATGCATCGGCAGGTGAATCCCCACGAGCTGACCACACGTCTGCAGACGTCTGCAGGTCGCTCAGTCTGTGTCAAGCCTCGACAGATGCAACGGACGCAATATTTAAAAAATGGATGTTGAGATGGTAACTGCCGCAGCTATTTATTTGTTTAGTACTTTTAATTACTACTTGAGTGCGTATACTTACAACATTTTTGTTTTTGTGGTACTTATTCTTTGGATTCCACAGGCAGTTTTCTGCTTGATATAGCTCAATAAATTTGAAGGTTTCATCAGTGGTCATATTAGCCATGTTAGCGAAAAAGGTTAAGGTAAAAACCTTAAGAAGCGCGAGTACAGTCTCTTTCCCGATTCCGATAGCACTGATGCGTGCTCATTCGTCGTCAGACGTGTGGTCAGACATTACCCAATAAATTTAATATTTACTCATTCTTATCATCAGAACGTAACTTCTGAAGCCATCAACACAGAATATTCAAACCAGAAGCTACATTCAAGTAGCAGTGCAATTTTCAGCCGCCGGCAGCTAAGCGATCGGCAACGTATACAGCACGTCCGATAGTCCCAGACAGTCATTAATAGTAGACCAGATCAGAGCAGCTCGCAGCATATCGTAAATTTATATCGATGACTAATTCATAGCCTCTGATAGTCAGAACTTGCTTGTTGGAAATAAGCGAATAATTTAATTAAAGGATCGACTCGCTACCGGCGAAAGTAAAGTAATTTGTACACTGCATGAGACATAAGACATCAGCAAGACTACATATATATGTATAATGCATATTGAGATGTGCTCACTTTGTAATCATCTCGTCACTTGGTCGGAATTGTCAATAATATATATATCGTCGATGATACAAGAAAAAATCGTAACTCCGTTTCTAAGAATTTTAGAGGAAAGCGTAAAAACAGATTGAGTTATGCATTATATTGTTTTAGGAATAATAGCATTATTGTGATAAATACAATATTATAGTTTAATTAAGCAGATTCTGAATGATACTTAACGAAAGCTGAAATTTTCAAAACAAAAATGGAAAAGAGGTAAAATTAGGAATAACGTATTTTTCCTATTTTAAACGCCACATAAAGTGGAGTTCCGTGGTTTTCTTGTGTTAACAACGATATATATATATATATATATATATATATATATATATATATATATAATACAATTACTTGTTAATTGGGAAATTGGCAAAACTTTTAGGCTAAACTTGACTCTTTTGACGATAAAATCAAGCTTTCGCCATTCTCTATGGAACCATCATCAGGATTCTGAAAACACAATTGTGATGCTAGCAAAGAAGACAGATTTAAAATGTCAGACAACTTACTCGTCGGTGAGGTTGCAGCCACAAGGTGTTTCAGAAAGAACGTAGAGAAGATCGAACTTGTGTTCAGTATAAAAACAAAAGGACGGGGACATTGGGCTTGTTAAAAAACGACAGATACCTTCGTTAAAAGTTAAGAAAAATAAAAATTATATCAATAAACCCGAAAAAGCTAAAAAACAAAAGAAGAACAGGGTTATAAAAATCTCTGACAGTACTTTCCATCTTTCCAATTTAAGGAAGCTTTCAGTCTTATTTATCAAAAATGGCTATCCTAAGTATTTGGTTGACAGAATCTTGTTCAGCTCTCCTCCGAATATTTTGCCAATCACTAATAACAATAATGAAAATGGCAACATGGGTCAATCAAACCAGATACCCATTATTTCTTCAACTAATGAGAACAACAGCACTACAGTGGTTGCTCCTACTTCCAGAGATAACTATGTTGTCTTGCCATACATCAAAGGACTAACACCAAAATTGATCAGGCTGTATAATGCCTTTAATTGTCGTTTTGCTTGTGAATCAGTTCTCACAGTCAACAGTTTTTTGTCCAAAATGAAAGATAAGGTTCAGTTGCTTGATTCAACCAATACTGTCTATCGTATTAATTGAAACAACTGCAATTTAGTTTATATAGGCCAAACTTCTAGGTCGCTGAAAGGCAGGATAACGTCACACAAAAGTGATGCCAGATTACATCCAGAAAGATGTGCTTTGGCGTCGCATATCAACAACACAGGTCACTGTATGAATTATGGCAGTATTGAGGTTCTTGATAAAGAAAAAAGACTCTCAAAACGTCTATTTTTAGAAATGTCCCACATTTTCGTGACAGATCATTGCATGAATAAAAAGGCTGATGTTAAGCAGCTCAGTGTCATTTATTCCTACCTGTTGAATTGCGAAAAGATAGAACGGCTACATGTCCAAATTGATCCAACATCTTCACAAAATTACGTTAGAATACATTTTCTCACTCACATAACCCATCTTTTCAAGGTTGTATCAATATCACACATTCTTGCACTCAGATGAACCACTCACTCTTTTACAAAACAAGTCATTCCAGCATTTTAGTAATTTTGGGTGGAGATTTACTGAGCGTCCCTCGTATACTTCATACCCAAAGTTGGACAGGGAGGTGCACATTTCCACGTTCCGTCGCGTCAATCACTTGTCTTCTGTCGACGCTTTACCGTTCCGTGCCTTTCCCCCTCTCCACGTATAGCGGTAGTAGAATGTTAGGGACTGCATTCCGATTGTTTCAACAAAATGTCTCCCCACGTGCAGTATTTTTAGCTTGTTCGGGTTTATTGATATAATTTTTATTTTTTTTAACTTTTAACGAAGGTATCTGTCGTTTTTTAACAAGCCCAATGTCCCCGTCCTTTTGTTTTTATACTGAACACAAGTTCGATCTTCTCTACGTTCTTTCTGAAACACCTTGTGGCTGCAACCTCACCGACGAGTAAGTTGTCTGACATTTTAAATCTGTCTTCTTTGCTAGCATCACAATTGTGTTTTCAGAATCCTGATGATGGTTCCATAGAGAATGGCGAAAGCTTGATTTATCGTCAAAAGAGTCAAGTTTAGCCTAAAAGTTTTGCCAATTTCCCAATTAACAAGTAATTGTATTTTGTACCCAACTAGTCGTTGGCTTTTGGCAATGACTACTTCTCACATATATATATATATATAAACATTTTCACAAAGTGCTATATTTTAATAGTCTGAGAACAAGCATATTTGGGCATAGCCACGCGCGTTTTTTGAGAACGCAATCAATTTATCTGTTTAAAGCCCTATAATTTTGCGAAACAATGAAATTTTTACTTTTTTCGAGAATCATGTGATAACTGAGCGAAAAAGAGGAATCAAGTAAGTTGTCTCTCAGTGCCTACTCAATTGTTAGAGATATGTGCAACCGAGAAAAGCATGCCTGGTTTCAGAAAAAAAACAAACTTATATTTCTACTTTGGCCTGAAATAACCAGAAAGTAGAACAACGTTAATAATTTTTTATTTGCATGTTTTAAATGTTGACTCCCATGAACTTTTATGCTAAAATATTAGGATTGTTAACGTTCTCAATTTTTTTTCCTGTACCACTATTGGTGGACTCCATTGAGGTGTTCTGTCATAGCGGTACATTTTTGCCAAAATTGTATTAGAATCCGAGCAGTAATTTCCGAACTATAGAAATAGAGGACCTCGTAGCGTTTTGCTATGTTATTTTAAAGACCCTTGTCCGGACACAGAATAGTCATCCACATTTATAGAACCTGTTTGATTCATATTATAATCAAGAACTTGAACGATGAACAATGCAAGCCTAAGATTTTTATGACATTTTGACACAATGTTACTACTATACCAAGAGCAAGATAGTGTAGTTTGAAAATCGAAAATTCAGTTACGGCAAAGTTAAGAGCAAAAAACGAAAACAGTAACTGTAGTGTATTGACTAGATAAAGTGTTGCTTGGTTGTCTCATGCGCCTACTTCACTGGGCAGTCGAAAACCGACACTCGAACGGAGCGGTTGTGCGAAGGACGATTGTACAGGTGTTGTGGCGTTGGTGAGCCGTAAAACACTCCGAGAAGCTGGACATTACATGTGGCGACGAGGAAAATAGTAAGTACACATTAGTGAGCAAAAACAAATGGGAAAAAATGGCGATACGGTGCAGTAAACAAATGAATACTTATGAATTCAGCTAGGTTAAACTACGAGTACATTAAATGTAAGATGTTTTGTAATACCTACCTACGTAGTGGGAGAAATATGTTGTATTATGCTTGTATTTTAGTCATGTACCTATTTGTTTACAAAAATAGCAAGGTTTAAAGACAACCGGTGACCGTTAGATCAGTAGGTACCAAAACTAACGCAGATTAAATTGGATCTGTTTCCCTAAATTGATTAAAACTATGTTGTCGTGATTAATAGGTACTGATAAATAGAAGGGAGTATCTACTCAAAGCAGTTGGAAGCGAACTGATCATTAAATTGATATCATAAACAAAAGCCTTACAATAAAATTATTATTATATGAGGTTCGTAGGTACTAAATTAGCAGATTAAAATCTGATAATTAAATTTTTACGTTTGCCGGTATGGACGGCTTAAGTAGATTTATGCGGACAAAACTATAATCCGATCATTAAATTGATATGAGATGGAAGCATCTAAGATAAAATCTAACTACAGATACATAGATATCTGAATCATTAAATTGATTATTCCAGGTCGCCCAAAGATGTCACACCTTTCACTAGAAAAGTTTGAGTGTAACGGGGAATCTACCTCAGTGGGTGCACGATGGGAGCGATGGAAGCGAGCGCTATTCATCTACCTCGAAGCGGTTAATATTGACAGAGACATCAAGAAAAGGACCTCTCTTCTACATTTCGGCGGGCTAGACCTGCAGGAAGTATTCTATAACATTCCTGGGGCCAACGTGGAACCAGCCGAAGGCGTAGACGTTTTTGAAACAGCGATATCAAAACTTGATGCGTACTTTGCACCAAGACAAAGCAAAGTGTTCGAGAGACACACTTTCAGGTTCCTTAAACAAGAACCTGACGAAAAATTCGAAAAATTTGTCTTGCGATTGAGGAAATAAGCCGACAAATGCCAGTTTGCCGACAGGGAAGGGAACATTATTGACCAGATAACAGAAAAATGTTTCCTACCTGAACTGAGGAAAAAGATACTAAAAATTGGAGATGACATTACATTAGAGCAAGCAATCACCGAAGCAAATACCCTTGAAGTTGTTAATAAACAATTGGAAGAGTTCAAAAACCCACTTAGATCAAATGAGAATCAAGAAGTAAACAGGATGGATAGTAAATTTAAAAGGAACTTTGATAAATCAAGGAATGTTCAACATGGGCGCGGTAGATGTGGTAATCCTAGACATGCTGGGAATGATGCAAGATGCCCAGCAAGGGACAAAGAATGCCTAAAGTGTGGTCTTAAGGGGCATTTCAGACAATACTGCCGAACGAAACAGACATTGAAGCGGAGAGTGGATAGGGAATATAGACATGAACAAAAGAAAGGTCGTTTTGACAGGGAGAAGAATGAAGTTAACGAAGTGGGTGACTCTTCTAACAACACAGCACATAAAGAGGGAGAAACTGAGTATGTTTTCCACATTGATGACGATGTGGAAATTAAGTGCACTATTGGAGGAGTACAAACTAAGATGTTGATTGATTCGGGCTGCAAGCAGAATTTGATTACGGAAAGAACTTGGGAAAAATTAAAGAAGAACAAAGTTAATGTGTATAATCAACTTCCAAATCCCGATGTTACATTTATGGCTTATGGTAGCTCTACACCACTGAAGATAAAAGGATCATTCGAGGCTCAGATTAAAGTAGGACTAAGATCCGAAAACTCAACTTTCTATGTTGTTATCGATGGCACTAGAAATCTTTTAGGGAAAACTTCGGCAATAGCTTCAGGAGTTTTGAGAATTGGATTGGATGCAGAAGTTAATCAAGTAGATTACCAGATTTTCCCCAAATTTAAAGATGTATTAATCCACTTGCCAATCGATCATTCAATCCCACCCGTATCACAACCTTACAGGTACTGATTTAAATTGTATTTTGATAAATATGTGTGTAATGTTCATTGATATTAATTCGATCTGAAATGTTGATTGTTACCCTCATAACACATATTGCTTTATTACGTTGTTATAATTATCATTCATTAAAATGTTATTAGTGTTATTACTGATGTATTATTTTTACTGTTTCATGTTGGGAGGATCCCTATACCTTTAGAGGCAAAAATTGAAAACAAAATTGAAGAACTTAAACAAAGGGATATTATAGAGCCGGTAGTTGGTTCTTCTAAATGGGTGTCCCTTGTTGTGCCGGTGCTGAAAGAAAATGGAGAAGTACGTCTTTGTATTGACATGCGCCGGGCTAACGAAGCCATTATACGTGAAAATCACCCATTGCCGACAATGGACAAGCTGCTGCCTAAAATGAAAAATGCGAAGGTATTTACAAAATTGGATATTAAAGACGCATTTCACCAACTTGAAATAGATCCGGCTTCAAGACACATAACCACCTTTATAACCAGTAAAGGCTTATTCAGGTACAAGAGACTCATGTTTGGTATATCGTCTGCCCCAGAAATATTCCAGAAAACATTAGAACGCATGATTTTAGGATGTGAAGGTGTGGTAAATTACATTGACGACATTTGGATATACGGAAAGGACTCGCTTGAACATGATTTGCGATTAAAAAAGTAATATCTGTTTTAAATGAAAATAACGTAGTGATAAGAAATGACAAATGCTGTTTTAGAATGGAAAAAGTGAGTTTTCTAGGACATGAGCTGTCAGGAGAAGGGGTAAGACCATTAAAAAAGTACATTTCCACAATAAAAGAATTTAGAGCACCTAAAACTACAAGGTTTTCTGGGTCTCGTTAATTTTGTGAGCAAATGGATACCCAACTATGCCACGGTAACAGAACCTCTTAAAATCCTACTAAGAAACAAAACAGGAAATCGAACGGACATAACCGAAAACTGGGGATCAGAACAAAAGTCATGTTTTGAGTCGTTGAAAGAAATCATGTCAAATATTTCTAGCTTAGGGTATTATAATGTTAGCGATCGTACGATTGTCATAGCAGATGCTAGTCCTGTGGGTTTGGGCGGAGTTTTAGTTCAAACTAATTCCAAAGGTGAGCCTAGGATTATTGCATATGGCCACAAAACTTTGACTGACTGTGAACGCCGCTATTGCCAGACAGAAAAAGAAGCGCTAGCTCTTGTATGGGCAGTGGAACATTTCCACATATTCCTTAAGGTGAAAGATTTGAACTCATAACAGACCACAAACCGTTGGAAGTAATATTTGGTCCTAAATCTAAACCATGTGCGAGGATAGAGAGATGGGTTATGCGCTTACAATCGTACGACTATAAAATAGTTTATCAACCAGGAAAAACCAATATCGCAGATTCATTGTCTAGACTAAGCAGAAGTGCGGAGAAATCCCTGATAAAACTAGAGGACAATCACATTTGCCAAATTGTAGAGTTTGCCCGACCTCGTGCTGTTTCTCTTAAAGAAATAATAGATAGCTCAATGGACGATAGGGAAATACGGAATGTGAAAGAGGGTTTATATCGGAACATATGGAACGATGACGTGAAGTTGTATAAAATCTTTCAAAATGAACTTTGTTTCCACGAGGGTATATTATTGAGAGGAATGAGAATTGTGGTTCCCTCGGCACTCCGTAAAAGAGTTTTGGATGCAGCTCACGAGGGACATCCCGGTATCGTGTCAATGAAGGCAAGACTTCGCAAGTCTGGTGGCCTAGATGCGACAAAGAGGCCGAGAATACGGTAAAAGCATGTAGAGGATGTACTCTTGTATCTGCACCATGTACACCAGACCCTATGAAACGGCGTGAGTTGCCAGAAGGGCCTTGGATTGATATTGCAATTGATTTGATGGGTCCTCTTCCAAGTGGTGACCATCTATTTGTTGTAGTCGATTATTACAGCAGATATAAAGAAGTGAAGATTTGTCGTAAAATTACCTCTACTGAAATTGTAGCCAAACTTAAATAAATATTCAGTCGATTAGGAAATCCAATTTCAATAACTGCAGATAATGGAAGGCAATTTATCAGCGAAGAGTTTAAGTCATTTCTAACCGAAAGAAACATCATCCTTTTCAATACAGTACCATATTGGCCACAACAAAATGGAGAGGTTGAACGACAGAACCGTGACATACATAAACGTCTGAAAATAAGTATAGCTGAAAATAAAGACTGGAAAGAAAGTTTGCTGGATTATTTGACCATGTACAACAGCACACCACATTCTGTTACGGGAAGAACCCCATCAGAACTTTTCTTCAAAAGGAAGTTTAGAGATAAATTACCTATGGTAAACGATACAATGGAGAGGACAGCACAAGACACAGAGGTTAAGGATAGAGATCAAGAAAGAAAGCAAATAGGAAAAGAAAAGGGAGACATGAAACGGAAGGCTGAAGAGTGTGATTTAATACCAGGAGACAAAGTGTATATAAAAAATGTAAATAAAGAAAATAAATTAAGCTTAGACTACAATCCAGAAACACGCACAGTGGAAAACACGAAAGGAGGAGATATCACGGTAAGAAGCAATGAAACCGGTCAAATTCGAAGAAGGAACGTTGTACATTTGAAAAGAGTTCAAGGGGAATGGAGTGTCTGCCAAGATCAAAATGAGATTAACAACGAGGAAATGAATGTCGGAACTTAACCCTAGTGTAGCTACATAAAAATTTTAATTCCATTAATTATGTTTGATTCATGTAAAATCCATTATATATACTTCGAAGTTGAGTCATTTATTTTAACAGTGAGTAGATCTGATCAAAAGAAATGTTTTTTTCCTTTACCATTTTTCTGGTAAAATTAAAGTAACAAAGTTATAGCCCTTTGGAGGTTTGAGTACCGCCCTGTCTCAATAACATCATGTGCTCGTGTTTGGCAACAACGGATATAATCCGCCTTATCGGTTCATCGCATCGGAAACAAAAAAGCGAAGGAATTTGGAACGATCTTTTTACAATTATGTTATTCAGTTCAGTTATACATACAGTCAGTGTCAGTCGCGTGTGAATAGTGTCTGTTGCGTGGCTCAAACGAAATAAAAAATGGCACATGTTTATGCGGATCGGTTTCCCAATCGAGTGCAACCAACCCCTCGTGCCTTTGTTAATGTAGTACAACGGGCTCGTGAATCAGGTGACTTAAGACCTCACAGGGGACCTCACGATCAAATACAGGTCCGCACTGAAATACTTGTCGGGAGGATACTTTATAAAACAAGGTAAAAATTTTTTTTTTATTTTTTTTTATTTTTACACACATATTTTGGTTTATCTTCCTTCTACAATCATTATCTGAAAATTAATGACTCAACTTCAAAGTCACCCTGTATGTATGTATATAAATCGTTGTATAAGTATTAAGAGAGATGTAGTCAATAAAAACAAATAAAACAAAAAAGGGATGTAGTGTATTGACTAGATAAAGTGTTGCTTGGTTGTCTCATGCGCCTACTTCACTGGGCAGTCGAAAACCGACACTCGGACGGAGCGGTTGTGCGATGGACGATTGTACAGGTGTTGTGGCGTTGGTGAGCCGTAAAACACTCCGAGAAGCTGGACATTACGGTAACAATCGATCAAACTTAATCGCTTTGTGACGTTTCAGATGTCACTTATAATTTTCAGATTTTTCTATAGCATTTGAAAATTGAGGGTTGTAAGGAGTAGGGGGTTATAAATGTTGTGTCTATGGTATCAGGGAAAGACGTTCCATTATCAAGAAGTGTCTCAGAATATACATTGCGTGCACGCTTGATTAACAATTAAAAAAATCTCTTTTAATAAAAATAGCTACTAAAATAGTTCAATATTTTGTTAATGAACGTTTGAAGAGTATTTAGGAGCTTTGACAACATTGAAATGTTCGTTCTTTCATATTGTTTTTCGCATATTTTGCACATTTTCAAATAGTAAATCGCTTATATCTCGAAAAATGTCAATTTTAGAGAGGACTTTCAAAACGCCTTT